TACAATTTAATAGACCAATCATAGGCTACTAAATCATGCTTAAAGGACTATTATTATATTATTGATTACTTAAATGTTAAATGCTTAGCGATTGTTCATGCAACCCGTCTCTAGTCATATAACAATCACTGCATGGATTCTTTTTTTTGAAGTGTAATTTATGGTAAATTCATAAATACATTAAAAACATTCTAACATATGAATGCAATATTAGGTGTAATTATTATATCAGTTAATATTTTTATAGGTTGAAACATTACTTGAAAAAGGCTCCAATATATCATACGCACATATTTTTTTGAAAAATCAGACCTAAATATTTAAAATGGTGTATAGAGTTTGAAGGCATAGATGTTACACGAAACATATTTAATGAACTAAAAGACTTAAGGCCTCCTTGTTGTAAATTGTATTTAACAATGATAGGCATTGAATCTGAGGAATCAGATTTTGAATTAGATACCTACTGTAAAAAAATTATATGATGATGTATGTACTTTGTTTGGCAGAGATAACATTAGTAAGGACTAAAAATCTTTTTCTCAATTAAAATTCATCAAATTTTTTACTTTAAGGTTCTTTAAATAAATAAAATTACAAAATTACAAGTCATACAAGTAGTCTAATCAAAAATCCCCATTCATAACTAGAATTAGGATGTGTATGACCTTAATAACTTGCCCTTATAACTCAAATATTATTACGTAATGGGTTAAAAAAACTATATTTATATTCATTTATTCGTTCAAAATAAACTATACATTTTTAATCAATTATTAATAAAAACTACATGTTTCATGTTTGCTAGTTACGGCACTAGGTAATAGGGTATTTGAGGGGGGCTATATCAGCCACGCCTCTACCTGACCGTAAGTTATCTAGAAAAACTACACTTTTCAGAAAAAAAATGATAAAATAAGCATTATATCATTATAATTATTCGATTAATTACGAATTTCATACTTTTGATAATCGAACACAGCCCTAGGCATAGGCACCGCCAGGAATTTTTTCAGGGAGGTGCATCGTGCAAGTTTATACGCTGATTTGATTTCTAAATAATGCTTGTATACAAAATAATAATAATAGTAATAATAGTAATAATAATAATAATTTAATACGAAAATATATTTTTTCAAATTGTACAACGATACAAAGTTATTTTAGTTTTTTTTTCCAACGGCTACAATGTAACGCGGGCTAATTGCTACGATTAGAAAATCCGAAATTCAATTGATGTAGATAATTATCTATACTATTATATAAAATTGTAAGGGGTTTTCTACGACCGAGCTAACCGAGAAAACTACTGAACCGATTTGGCTGAAATTTTCAACTGTTATACCCGATATTCTGTTGAAGGTTATAGTACAATAGTACCACTTTTGTCAATTAAAAATAAGTACAAATGCTACTATCAATTAAAATAAACTTGAAAATAAAATACCAATACCTACACCTTTTTTAGTAAGAAATATCAAATAGTCGAGTGCTGAAAATAAATAACAATCAAACTCGACAACCACAGATGCTTCTAAGTATGCCGGTATCGACGTAGAATAATAAACAATTATTATAATTATTTAGTTTAGCAAAAAAAAAAAAAAAACAATTAATTTTATCTGAGTATCTATTATTAGTATTTATAATCAATGGTGTTACATTAGTTATTGGTAAAAAATAACTAATAACTAATCGAATTTTCACAAATTGCTTGCTAAGATGGTTGAGTTGCACTTATACCCGATCATCGGCGTATCCACAGTCAAAATAAAAAGTAAAATAAAAATAAAAAAATATTATTTTTCATGGCTCAAGTGCATAATATTAACGGGCTGTGGTGATGGAAAAACTGTTTTAATACCAAGAATACCAATTATACCCTCAGATTTACCTTTTAAGTTTAAACTTGTTCAATTTTCCGTTAAATTAGCATGTACAATGGCTATAAATAAAGCACAGGGACAAACACTTAACGTTGCTGGAATTTACCTAAGCGTTCAATGTTTTTCTCACGTTTAACTATACGTCACCCTGTCACGTGTCGTCCAAATTTAATTTGTATATTTTAGCCCAAGATCCAGAAAAGGTTGATAACGTTGTTTACAAAGACATTTTTTAAGTCTTTGAATTATCAAAGTACTGGCCTAATTCATATTTTTTGTTCCATCCATAGTTATACCTTCAAAATTTACAGAAACGAACTCTAATTTTAGTGCTTCATACATTAAATCTATTAAATGAAAAAAATTGCAATAAGCATCAATTTTTCTATTGACACAAGCGATATAATTTTTTTCAACATTATGAAGAATCCGCGGTGGTGACGATAAATTTATAAGGCTACATTATCACGGCAACGTGACTAAAAGTGGTCTAAAATAAAAATAATTATTTTACATTCAGACAATAAATAGCAAATTAATATTTGAGGAATCTTGCAATAGCGAAGCATTTTTAACACAGGGGAGTGCAAAATAAAACAGTTTCTATACCATTTAATTTTTTTAATTAAATTAAATTTTTTCTGTTTTGAAAAGCCAGGGAGTGTAAGTGCACCATCTTGCACTCCCCTCGCGGCGCCGATGGCCCTAGATATTTGACAAGGGAATACTATTATGTTTGTAGAAACATTTATGACATGTTTGTGTAGCATGAAGCAGCTAACCTACCTGTAGGTACTAATCTAATATATAAATATTCTTTGAAGTTTAAATTTTTAGAAAAATTATCTATAAACATAAAAAAATTCTTTAGATAAAAAGTGCTTTTGTAGCCAAAACTGGAAAACAATGCAAAATAAAATGTAATATAGCTGCTTCTATGTCATACCCAAAAATTTTTATAATCTAGTCGGCAATGTGCACAAATAAATGAAAAAAATATGTTCCTAGCACATTCTTGAAGTAACTAAATTTATAGCACAGACTACTCTACTCCTAATTCAGAAGCCATCTTCAAAATTGTAGCAATTCTCAGGTTAAAAAGAAATTATAGAAATGTCTAGAACTATTATGTGTCAATGGCCCTAGGCCCTTATTTTTAAATTAATTTAACACATATCATAGCCTCTTATTAATCTTATTCCAAACTGCCATCACTGAATGATTTTTCCTCAATGTCACAAGCCCCGTAGTCGCAGTGAATATAAAATCCTTTATACTGATTGTTCTATTATTGTATATTGTATATTGTATATTATTTTATAATTTTCTTCATTAAAAAGTTGATATACATTAAAATATTATATTTTTAGGGGTGTGGAATAATTATGTTCGTTTTGGACCTACTGAGGGCTTCAAGGTTTTAAAAAGAAAGATTTGTAGTAAAGCAATATGGAAATTGAAATTAAATTTAAAGGATACTTTTGTGTATAAATATAATGATCTTGAACTTGAATTTAGGTTAGTATTATACATATTACATATTATTTTACAACTATTGAACTTTTATTCTTGTTGAATTATATATTTTAGGAAAAATTTAGGTAATGAAGTTATAGTCATTGATGATTGAAATATATATGTAGATATACATTATTTATGTACACGAAAATTGCAAATATATTTAGAGATGTTTTATTCTCCATGTTGTATTTATTATTGTTAAATTAATACTTTAAGTGGCTCATTTAATAATTTATGTAAATTTGTATAGAATTTAGTTTGTTTGGTTTGTGTACAGTAGTTTATTACAAAAAGCGAGTAATGTAATACAGTGAAACTTCTTTTAATGATTTACTTTTAAAGATCTCTAAATATACATACCATAATCTCTGTAAAGCTGTGATTTTCCCTGGTTTCTATGGAAGTTGTAGTGGAGAAATCTCACTATGAAAATATATAAATAAGTTAGTTAATAAAAAAATAGTACATTTATCTAAAGAAAATTAACGAATAAATTTATATTAACATGTATGTTATAATTTAATATTTGTAACTTATTCTAACATTTTATTTCATTTATTTTTTGTTTTTATTAGCATAATTTTCACTTTTACAATATTAATACTAACTTTTTTTTGTTGAACCTCAATGTTAAATTTGTATTCCTAATAATCAGTGTCCACATAACCGTCGGTAGTATCTACAGCAGAGTTTCCCAACCGGTGTGCCCTGAGGCCTCTTTAGTAGTGTTGCCAAATTGCACGATTATCAATGAACGTTTACATAACATTGCGGTAATTGGTTGAAATATTTTGATTAATGAAGGGGAAACAGTCCGACATTTCTCACTAAGACTACGACTACATATTTTATGAAATTGTAATGTATCTTGTTTTTCCATTTCAATAAATTAAATATATTTATGATGATTGTAATAATATTATTTGTCTATCCTTAATAAACACACCATTTTAAATTGTTTACTAGTAATACACTGATATACAACTACTTTGTATTAATAATTAATATTAAGGAAGTTTACTATAAAAAAAATATGTATACATTTATAAATCAGTGATAAGTGTGCCTAGGCTAAATATGGGCTGGGAATTGGCGGGGATTAGTGTGCCACGAGGGAAAAAGGTTAGGAAACGCTGATGGCTGATCTATATCTAAGTTGTATTTGTTGTCTTCTTTGTTGAATGTGTCTGAATAGGCATAACTTATGCCAATATCTTTCCAACACTGTTCGCAGTGTATGTAAACGCACCTAATTGTGTTGCAACCATATTGTTAGCGGGCAATCGTTTCTGGTTCTCCACAAATCAGACATTTTCAGCGACCACACTCAAACTACACAGTCATCCGAACCGTGCTGGGAACTTTAGTCTCAACACTAAAAAAATGTCAAGATCTTCCTAAATAATAAAAAGTAATGGAAATAAAAGATAACTTGTCTAACGAATGATGTCCAACATTGCTACAAAGACAACGCAATTCGATCTCGATGGTTCTTAAATAAAAAACTTATAATGCGCTAGAAATCATTAATTCATTGTAAATCACATTTCCATCTTAAGTTGTCTTCCCGATGAATTACACAGCAGTGGATAATTATTGTTGTCTAGTCCAGTGTTTCCCAAACTTTTTGTAATGGTGACCCATAAATGTAATCTTTATTTGGTACTCGACACCCTGCTAAAAAATAAAAAACAAAATCAATTATGCCAAAAATATGTAATATTTTTATTATAATCAATTTTATCATTCCCATCGATAAGATAACAAATATTTCATAATTGTAATAAAATAATATTAAGATTACTAAAAATATATTGATATTAAATATAAGATCGATGTCATACATTCTACAATACTAGTTGGACTTCACATTTTTATTACATAATATAGACTATAGCAGAGATTCCCAAACTTTTTATTGTACGACCCATTTTGAAAATTTTTTAAAATATGGTGACCCACAATATCAATGAATGACCTTTTTTTTTTTTACCATGCAACAGAAAATTAAACTATTTTATTAAATTTTATGTAACTAAGAAAAAAAAGTATAATAAGTATAATATATTAGTAATTTAATAAGTATATAATTTTAATGTGAAGGATGTAATTGTTTCCTATTTTTTTCATCACATTATCGATATCCACTTCAACATTGGTAAGCTTGAGACGCAGTGAGTTTGAAAGTTTCAATTTGCTCCGTAATTTGGTTTTAATAGCAACCATTGCCGAAAAACCAACCTCACAATTATATGATGAAATGAATGGGAGTAGCATCTTTACAGCTTCATTGGAAACAGTTGGATAATTTTCTTGAACTGATAACCAGAAACTTATTAATTTTTTTCGATTGAAATTCATTTTAAACACACTATCTTCAAATAGTTCGATTGATTCTTCTTTAGCTCTTATTGATAACCCACTTGTCATGTCATGTTCTTGAAAAGGATTTGAAACCCATTTCATTTGTTGATAGTTCTCCATTTCACTCAGAAAATATGAATCGAAATTATTTTTTAGTGTTTGTAAATGATCAGAAATAAATGTAATAATGCTATCATCAACTTCTATTTGATTTTCAATTATGAAATTAGAAAATGATTCAAAACAGTCAAACATTTTGTTTTCAATATTTTTTTTCCACAGCAAAAGTTTTTTCATAAATGCTCAAATTTTGTCGTGAACTGAAAATATATCTCCGCCTATACCTTGCAAATATAAATTAAGTTCATTTAATTTAGAAAATATATCTGCTAAGTATATAAGCTTTAAAATAAACTTCACATCACGTAAGAACTTTACGTAATCATTTTCTTCGTTCAAATAATAAGTTTTTAATAGTACAAACTTGAATATTATTTTTTACTTATTAGATATTATTACCTACTATATAATACATGTATCCATTAAAATACAGCAAAATATCGCTCAAGTTAACTAAAAACGTTCACTGAATATTAATTTCTTACCTTAAACAAACAGCTAAACGGTGCTTAGGTGGTATACATTTCCTTTTCGATTTTTTTTAGTAAGACATCGAAACAGTACATGGACATCCTAAAATATTCGGGGAATTTAGTTTCATCATCTACAAGTTCCTTATATAATGTTTGAAATTCTCCTTCGTTATCACGCTTCTTTCAAGCAGAGTGAACCCAGTACCTACGAGGCCCTTGGAATTTTTGTTCATCCTCGTCAAGCAGTAATGCCATCATTGCAAGTTCTTTATTAGAAAAATCCATTTTTCTAATAATTAAATTAAAATTATTCAAATGAATTTGTGTATTACTAAGTAATTTATTGAGTCGTTAAATTATTTATACTCACTTTAAATGTAGGTAAACTTTAAACTCAATTGGATACTACAATTTACAAATAGGTATACCTAACGGCTAAAATATAGGTACCTACTGGCTACTATACTATAATTTTGAATTTATAATTTATGCAAATAATATTATCACACTAAAATATAATATACGACCATGTGGTTACAAATCTTGATCACAACTGACGACAAAGTTTCGACAAAATTGTAGTTACGCCCGGACGGATTCCTGAATAGTGTGAATGCTGAGACCAGGGTTACCCGGACATGCCGAAAAATGACCAGGCCTGGCCCGGACACGCCCCGGAGCAGTGGGAATGGACCTTAAATCAGCTGTCTGTACAAATTGTAGCTCAACTTTCCATCCTAATTGTACAAAACTAAAAACATTTACAACCTATAGGCTATAGGGCTGTTAAGGATAGTTGGATTTGCGAAAACTGTATGATAAATTTAAGCAAAGTATATAGCGTAAAAATTTAGAAAACGAATTTCAAAAGGATGAATGCAACGATGCGTATGATCTTGATTCAGTTAAAACTGATTTGAAGTTAGTGATTAAACGAATTGAATCTCTCTCAGATAATATGGAGATTATCGAAAATTCAATAATTTTCTGTTCTGATTCTATTGATGAATTTGGATCTATGTTAGAAAGTGATATATGCAAAATCACTGAAAAGGAAAATAAAGTGCAAGCTTATGAATTACAATGTAATAGATTGGAGAAAGAATTAAATATTTTAAAAGCTACAATCAAAAATACTGATCAATCGACCTTAGTCAATAATATAGAAATAAGTGGAATTCCTATAAAACCCAATGAAAATATTTCTGAAATAGTAAATACTGTGGCTCTAGTGTTGAACTGTCGGTTAAATAGTAACGATATCATTGACTCCTTTAGGAGTAAATCACGTCAAAATAATGACGGAATAATTGTCGTACAATTTAATTTAAAATCAGTTAAAGATTCATTCATTAATAGCATGAAGTCTCGTTACAAAGATAAAAATCCGATTATGACAAAATATATTCACCCAAAGTTTAGACAGTTTAGTAATTCTAAGGTGTCCATTAACGACCAGCTTACTCGAACCAACAAAAAACTATTATGACTGTCCAAAAGAAGTCGCAAAATACTATTATCACAAATACACATGGGCCAACACAGCAGGAGTATTCGTAAGAAAGGTAGAAGGAGGTAACATTTTCAAAATCAAAAATTTAGAAGTACCTATTACAAAAAATGGATACCAGAGAAAAAATAACGGCGTTATGGGATTACTAGATAACAAAAAGTAAATACTATTTTTTTATATTAATTATGGTAAATTGTATATTTTTATAATATGAATAATTTTGAAAATTTCGACTTTAATTTTCTAAATGTAAATAGTAATTTAAAATATAATACACAGTTTATAAATAGTTTAAGTAATATTGTCAAAAATAGTAAGGATTGTTTACCTTAACATACATATTGTATATTCGAAGTATTTTTAAACATTTCAATGAACTTATTATTTGCCTAAGTACCTACTTCAGATTTGAAATTTGATATAATCTTTTTGTTTGAAACGTGGTTGGAAAAAGATACTTTAAATTTTCAAATTGATGGTCTCACAAGTTTTAATTATTATAAAAAATTTAATAAATCTGATGGTATTTACTAAAAACTCATTTAAAGTTAATTTTGTTGAATTAGGCTTGATTAACTATTGTAGCTTTTTGAATCTCAATATTGCATATAATGATTCTGTTCTTAATTTAATTTGTGTATATCGATCTCCCAGCTTATTACAAGAACGCTTTCCAGAGAGTTTAGAACATTTTTTTTTGATAATTTTGATAGTACCAAAAATTATATATTCTGAGGAGATATTAATATTGATTTAAATAAAATAGACGTAAATACTGTTAGATAAAAAAATATTTTATGTTATTATGGATTTAAATCTTGTATAAATGAAGATACTAGGGTGAATTAATCATAGTTTTCTAAAACATAAAATTATTTCGATGATATTAAGGGATTTGTGTGTCAAAATAGCATAACTGACCATTATAGTAAAAATCGTTTAATCAAATTGGTTTAGTTCAACAAAAAAATAACATTGATGATGAGAAAAAAATTGATGATGTTCTTTTTGACAAACTTGAAAGCATTCTTAACCTGCAAGAAGATTGGGTTAACGTGTTATATATTCAACAAACGTAGACACTGCAATTGAACTTTTCTTTTCTAAAATAAATAATTCAGTACAAAATTGTACGGTAACAAAATATATGCGTGTACCTAAATCAAAAACTTAAATTAAGAAATGGATTACATCCGGTACTCAGTCTTGTTAAGTATTCGAATACTTGTATTTAAATACTAGTATTTAAATACTTTTTTTGTATTTCAAATACTTTTTAAATACTTTTTAACCAATGTATTTTAAATACTTAAAAAATACTTTTTATTTGTATTTATATTCTAGAATACTAAATACTTTTTTACATTCCTATGGGCTATGTTCTACTCCAATTTAAATTTCCAATATTTTGTAATGTACTGTTTTAGATTTTGTTTTTAAAATATTATTTTATAATGGTTCTAACTTCTGAGAATTTATAAATAAGATTTTAGATTTCTCCAAAATACAAGCTGATAACAGAATGACTGAAACCCCCGTCAGCCACTCACTCCCAGATTGATATTGTACGATTTAATAAAAATGATATGGAATTCCTTGAAGAATATTCTCAGATGATGGAACCATTAGCTATTGTTTTAGACCTTTTACAAGGTGAAAAAAATATGTTTTTTGGTTTTCTAATACCTTCAATTACAGAGTTAATTTACAAGTATGAACAAATACTTAATAAAAATCAATTAAAAATCTGTTCTCCATTGGTAGCAGTAATAATAAAAAGCATTGAGAAACGATTTGAAAAAATATTAAGTGACCAATTTTTGACAACAGCAGCTATTTCACATCCGTATTTTAAAACTGTTTGGATAAAAAACCAAGTAAAAAAGGATTTGGCTATTTCGGATTTTAAAAAAACAGTTTTAAATGTCTTTAATTCAAAAGAAAATGAGGCTTCAACACATAAACAATTAGTTGAAAATAGTGAAGATGAAGTTGAGGATTCTTCTTTTTTTTCATGGTCTAATGACAAACTTCAAGGAACATCAACTATCTCTGTGGAAAATGAAGTAACTCAATATCTGAGTAGAAGCCCTACAAAAAAACTGACATCACTTAATGAATATCCTAATATAAAAAAAGTTTTTATTTGTCATAATACTCCATTGCCTAGCAGTGCTCCCATTGAACGCGTATTTAGTATTAGCAATGCCATACTAACAAAACGTCGAGGAAAGATGGACGACAACACATTTGAAAAAACAATTTTTTTAAAATACAATTCAAATATGTAATTCATATCTATTAAAATATACAATATACTGTATTACTGTCTACTATTAGAATAATTGTGTGTTTTATTATTATAATTATTTATTTTATTTTTTTTAAATATTTTTTTGATAAATTCCATAAATATTTTAATATAAAATTTATAATTTACTAAAAAAAAAGTATTTGTGGAAGTATTTTGAATACTTTTAAAAAGTATTTGTATTTATATTCAAATACTTTTAAAAGGAAGTATTCGAATACGTATTTTAAATACAATTAACACCAAGTATTTAAATACGTATTCTGAATACATTTGAAAAGTATTCTTAACAAGACTGCCGGTACTGTAATATCATTAAGACGTATGGACAAATTATTTAATAAATTAAAAAACAACCTTTCAACTCCAGCCTTAAAAATAAATATAGAAAATATAGAAACCTATTAACAAAAGTAATCAAATGCGCCAGAGACATGTAAAAATATAATTAATTCAAAAGGAGATCATAAAAAATATTGGGATTTAATAAATGAAGCAATGTATAATAAAACAAATAATAACAAAAAAATAAATATATTATCAATTTTAGATTATGAAAATAAATTAGTCACAGATAGCATTGATATTGCTAATGAATTTAATACATTTTTTGCTTCAGTTGGTGAAAATATGGTGGATCAAATTAAAACCCATAAACCTGTTAAAACGTATAAATAGAATATTAAAGCTAACCCTAATCCGATTTTCCTTAATTATATAACTAAAGAAGAGATTAAAAGCCATGTACTCTAAGCTACAAAGATAGTACTTCTTTCTATACTTGTAATTTATCAAATCATATATTAAAACAGATAATCGACTTTATACTAGTTCCATTAGTACATGTTCTTAATTTATCTCTATCAACTGGAATTTTCCCAAGTTTATTTAAACATACATTAATTGTATACCCCTTTTTGAACATATTGAAAAGCAAAATTGTTCAAACTACCGTCCATCTTCCTTAACGTATACTTTATCAAAAGTTCTGGAGAAATGCTTAAAAACACGTTTATATAATTTAATTGAAAAATCAAATATTTTTTCAGAAAACCAATTTGGTTTCAGACACAATAAAGGTAAGTACTTCAATTGCTTTACAAACTCTTATCAGTTGTATAGGGGCTACAACTCATTTGCGCACAAAAACGTAACTCATTTGCGCACAGTTTACGAACAATAGAAACTTTTTTTCAAAGAAATGTATCCATGTATAGGATGTACATTATCTGCGCACCTCACAATTTTTAAATTGGTCATTACTCATTAGTCATTAGTCATTACTGATGTAAAATTATTAAACTCAAACAACATTTTCCTTCAAATTGTCACCATGTTCCATATTATCAGCAACATCGGTGTTTTTTAGCTCTTGACGTATTAATTTGTTTAGACGGGTATATAGATCATTTTCCGCCTTTCTTTTCAGTGAGCTACTTACAATTTCTCTTGATATAACCTGATCTGAATATGCATCATGTTTATGCTCCGCGTTAGATTGATCGACAATTTGGTCATTATTGTTTACAATAATACTAGCATTGCAAAATTTATTAGTACACCGATAATTGAAATTTCCATTTTTTAATTGCCTATACTCTCAAAATTTGAAATTTTCCAATATTTTACAACGTTTTTCTCTCCGTGTTAAACAAGTAGAGACAGTAGCGTTTATTGTTATTACACCACAAATCGCAATTGGAGACTAAACTAAAATGTATAAAAAAGATTTGTAATAACTAATAAGGTTTAGGTTAGGTTCAGTTATCGCCGGAAACATTTAACAAAAATAGTGTAAAATTAGAAATATTTAAGCTCGTATACTCATGACTCGTGAACTTGGCGAGCGTTAATGTCGTTTTTGATAGATAAAAACTTATAGGAAACCATGTTATGCTTTAAGACTATATGGTCATAATCGATCGAGTATGGGTAGCTTAAAGCACCCTGTACACGAAAAACTATACCTACAATCTGGTTTTCATTGTTCACTAGTTTGTGCGCAAACGAGTTGTTGTAAATTTTAAAAATATTTTAATAAGTGCGCAAACGACTCTCCGCCTTGTATAGGTACAAATAAATTAGATGAGGGTAACTCGACTATTGGGATTTCCCTAGATGTCAAAAAAGCATTTGATTCCGTTGATCATAAAATATTAATAAATAAATTAGACAAATATAGTATCCGAGGAATTGCAAATAATTTAGTAAAAAGTTTCTTAGAAAACCGTATAGTCAACAGGTTCGTATTAATGATGTGCTGAGTTCTTCAAAACTTTTAAAATTACGGTGTTCCTCAAGGTACTGTCTTAGGACCATTGCTATTCATTATATATACAAATGATGGCTAATCTAATTTATATACTGAATGCTTTATTTATTGTTTTGCGGATGACACAACCACACAACTATTCTAATTCATAATTTAGATAAAACTAATTTAATGCACAAAGCATCAAAAATTAGGACATCTGTAAAAAATTGGTTTAATGCTACTTCCTTAGAAATTAATTTTAATAAAACATGTTATCCATCTTTTTCCATATCAAAAATTAGAAGTCTTGACAATGAACCCATTAAAATACATGATGATATTATGTCAAAATACTGTATATTCTACGGACACCTGTAATTGTAACTATACACATATATAAGAGGTGCAGAATCTCTGAAGTATCTTGGTGTCATCATTGACCAATTTTTAAAATGGAACTTATAATATATATCGACTTAACTATTAAAAAATTAAGGAGTATGTTTGGTAGGTTTAAAATATTAAACAATATTTTATCTCCATGCAATATGAAAATGGTTTCTGTGCTATCGCACAATCATTTTATTCTCACGGAATTAGTACATGGAGTGGTACCTACTATAAATATTTAAATTTACTAAAATCTACGATCAACTCTTTATAAAGGATAGCTTTTAATAAACCGTTTCGTTCAAATACGGATATACTATTTACAGTGAAACCTGTATATAACGGACAGTCACGGGACCAAAATAATTGTCCGTTATAGACTGCAGGTGTCCGTTATAGACAGGTTTCAATGTTTTTAAAATTAAAATTTTTACTTACATTTGTATTGTTCTATATTTTATAATATATTAATATGTACATATTAGGTATAATCTTAATAAATATTATACATATATGTATTATATACATACATTCTACATTATGAATTTAATTTTAATTATTTATTACAATTACAATTATTAATTTTATATTACATACATAAATGTATTATATGTATTATGTACATACTATTATATTTGTATAAATTTATTCATTATTTTTTAAAAAATGATTCTATTGATGTTTGTTTTTTGGACTTCGATTTAGGCATTTCCAGCTCGTGATGGATAATTAATTCGCTCACATATGAAAATCCTTTTGTTTTAAATTTAAAGCTCACCTAACCTAACCTTCGCGGCACGGGAGGTGGCATCGCTAAGGAAAAGATGTACAACTCTGACTGCGAACCAATAGAAACTGAATAAAAACGTTTGATACTCATGGTTATCATTTATATGTATTGCAATTTTTAAGCACTGTATAAATTCAATAGTCAATGAGCGTTATCGTAATCGGCGATAATGTAATTGGTCGTAATCCGTGTTTTCACTGAATGACCTAATTGCGTTCCTTATAGATGCTGTTTCGTAATATGTATGTATGTATTTTTGTCCGTTATGAAATTGTTGGATTAAATATTAGTGACCGTTATAGACTGGTCGAAATACATTAGAATGTCTATCTTTTTGACGGGATCTGGTCAATTTGTCCGTTAAGAGAAGTGCCCGTTATATAGGTACAGGTGTCAGGTTTCACTGTAATACTTATTGCATTTTTAATTTAAAAAAATCTCATGATAAAGAATTATTAACAAATCTGTATTTTTATAAACTTGACAGCGTCAGTTTCAACCACAATTATTCTATCCGTAGTACAATAAACAATGTATTTTAAATAAATAAATTTAATACCGAATTTGGTAAAAAAATCCATTTAATATAGGTATACATTTATGCATGCAATATCATATCTTTATTAAACATTTTAATAATTATGATCAATACAAAAAGTATGTTAAGTATTAGATAAAAAAATTGTTTTTAAATACGCATGAATCAATTGCATTATATTTCAACGTTTTCGAGTTTATCTGTTATCATTATTATTATTATTATTATTATTATTATTATTATTATTATTATTATTATTATTATTATTATTATTTATTCAATGTAAATTTATATACGCTTACAAAATAATTGCGTTGCCACGATAACACAAGTAGTGTGAACATTTATAGTAACTTGCACAACAACAATCTTTGACATATAAAAACGATGAAAATTATAATCATTTTATTACTGGCAATTAAAGTAGCATATTTATCTGGAGGAGGTTTGAATCATTGCACTAACCGGAATTTAGTATACAATGGTGTTAAATATGATGATAAAAAGTATCCGTACGTAGTCTCAATTCAAATTCAAAATGCGACACATACATCGCATTGCACGGGTACAATGGTAAAAAAATTGTACGTAGTGACCGCTGCTCACTGTCTTTACGGATATACAGCACAAAATGTAAGAGTAAGTATACAAATTATGTAGTATTTCCATTGTAATTAACTAACCATACATTAAATCATTCACCAAAACGAATTTAAATAGATGGCAAATAATATTCCAACTTCTATATAGGTATTTCTAGGATCAGAACTGAATAAGGTTTATCAAAATGCAGTCGAGCTGCACATGCCCAAATCGTACTTACCCAGGAGTATTGTGTTTTCAGACGTAGCTATTATTAAAGTAAGCTTAGTTTACTTTTTCTTAAACAAAAAGTATATCTGTTTGACTGCACTTGACCAGTGGCGCACACTGGAGGGTTCAAGGGTAGCAGCTGCTACCCCTGATTTTTTTGGTTGGTGGGTGGGTGGGTGCCATGGGTAAGTGTCTCCAAGTTACTAAAATGTCTACAACGTAACAATATTCTACTATGTATAAAAGTATTTAAAATATACTATTAAATAATATAGGCTATGGCCATTAGATTAAAAGCCAATATAAGAGGTAAGTAGGTAACTGACTAAATACTAATGAGTATTTTATCATCCATAACGTCGCAGAATAGATTCTCATGGTGGCATGTTTTCACGGTGTTACAAAATACAATCAAATCGGTATTCGGGATAGGCATTCCTACAGCGTGAGGTGGGAATACGTCGGAATATTTAATAATAAAATAATTTGTTTGTAGTTTGTGACTCTGTGCTAATGCATAAAGGTGAACGATTTGTCAAAACTATGTTGTAAAATATTTTAATTTGTATTATTTATTACCATTGATTACTGATCAAAGATTTTATAATTTAAATATTAATTTTATAATATATAAATTAATTATTAAATCAATGATTCGTATAATCGTTTAAATGTCTGGATTATATTTCTATTATCGATGAACAACATAATAATATATATATATATATATTGTAAGTTATGAAACGAGCATCTTACACCACCGTCCGACTTCTATTTATAAACAATAATGTGCGAATATTAGNCGTGTATGCATTGTATATTATTTTACACGATCCGTCATAGACGGAGGTCGAGAAAATAATAAACATCGCTCCCGAATGAGCACAATCGTCGGCCGACAGTCGACAATGTGTAGTGGGCGTGGCTTAAACGTCGCGTGCTTGCGGATCACGAAAACACTTAACAGCGCATTCTCTCGGCCGTTGTATACGTTTCGCTTTCGGTGTGGCGTCCTCTTAAAGCAAAAATTTAAAAACAAGCTACTGGGAATAGTCTATTTGAAAAACAAACATCTGATCTTGATAAAGGACTTGTCTCTTCGTACAAGGTGTCTTTATTGATGGTAAAAAACAGTAACCTCATTCAATGGACGAAACTCTAATCTTACCGGCTCTCAAGGAAATAAACGATACTATACCTAACCTAACGATAACCTAACCTAACCTATGTAAGGATAAGGTACTTACAATAAGATGATTAAGGTAATTTCTTTGAGCAACGATACTGTTTCTAAAAGAATTGATGAAATGGCAGATGACATCAAAAACAAACTTATAAATTATTTAAGAGAAAATAATTTTGCACTAAAGATTGACGAATCAACTGTAACAGATAAGCTATATTACTACTAGCTTAGTGAGGTTTATTAGTGAACGTAAAGAAATCGTCGAGGAAGTAATAATTGCTAAAAATTTGATCACTGATACCAAAGAGTCGTCGATTTTTCAAACGGTGGAGGATTATTTTACCCGAAAAAATGTCTGCTTGACAAATATTGCATAAGAAGACCAGTGTTCTCCAGAAGACAAAATTCTAATTTTCACTGATCATATTTAGCAGCTCAAAAAGGACATGAAATCAAGATTTCAAGACCTACTTGAGTTCCAAATCTCTAATTAGATTTTAGAGCCATTTCCGTTTGAATCTGTAGAAGATTTTGAACCTTCTTTACAAATAGAGTTTATCGATCTTAAACATGACTGTGAGGCACCACTTGTTTTGAAGCAGGTCGGTACGAGCTTGCCTTTTTAAAAAAAAACCGGAAACGGGTGAGAACTGTTTAGCACAATACTTCCACCATTCCTGTATCATTCATTCACCAAATACACTTGAACTATAATTAGTTATACATATGAGGGGGCCACTAACCACCATGAAAAAGCTGGCCCACAAAATAAGCACATTCACTCTACCCGTCCACCTCCTGCCTTCCTGATGCGCTCTGCTGCATCTTTTTGCCCGAGTATCGTCTCCACCTACGAGCTTGGTTGAGTCAAGCTTAAGACACTTATCAACAACTATGGCAACAAGTTAAATTGTTGCTTCTTTCTTTCCCGTCAACGTATCTAGTTGAAAAAGGATTCGACGTTGTTGTTCAGCTTATGACGAAATAAAGAAATCGGTTGGACACAGTGGCGCACACTGGAGGGTTCAAGGGTAGCAGCTGCTACCCCTGATTTTTTTGGTTGGTGGGTGGGTGGGTGCCTTGGGTAAGTGTCTCCAAGTTACTAAAATGTCCACAACGTAACAATATTCTACTATGTATAAAAGTATTTAAAATATACTATTAAATAATATAGGCTATGGCCATTAGATTAAAAGCCAATATAAGAGGTAAGTAGGTAACTGACTAAATACTAATGAGTATTTTATCATCCATAACGTCGCAGAATAGATTCGCATGGTGGCATGTTTTCACGGTGTTACAAAATACAATCAAATCGGTATTCGGGATAGGCATTCCTACAGCGTGAGGTGGGAATACGTCGGAATATTTAATAATAAAATAATTTGTTTGTAGTTTGTGACTCTGTACTAGTGCATAAAGGTGAACGATTTGTCAAAACTATGTTGTAAAATATTTTAATTTGTATTATTTATTACCATTGATTACTGATCAAAGATTTTATAATTTAAATATTAATTTTATAATATATAAATTAATTATTAAATCAATGATTCGTATAATCGTTTAAATGTCTGGATTATATTTCTATTATCGATGAACAACATAATAATATATATATATATATATTGTAAGTTATGAAACGAGCATCTTACACCACCGTCCGACTTCTATTTATAAACAATAATGTGCGAATATTAGGCCTCCGTAGCTCTGTAGTCGTGTAGCGACCAGCAAGTATCGACGTTCGACCTATTATTTCTAAAAATACACGGATAGTGTATACGTACTATAGAATATAGATACAGATATACGCTCCAGCTATGAAATTTCCCAAACTGGATTTATATTTAATTCACAGTAATAATTTTGTATAATATCGTATATCGATGGAACGACGACGACACGAGAGACGAGACATATAATTGGCATTCACACAGCTCGCACAGCTACGTTATTACTTATTAGTTATTAGTTATTACTAACAGTTATTACTATTTTCTGTGTTATAGTGTTGTGAGTTATTGTTTTTGATTAATATTTATTATAGTGGCATAGTGCACAATTATAATATTTTTAATTTCCTACAAAATGTCGAATTCAAATATTGGTTTAGACTTGGTGTGTTCGTGTGGTAAAAAAAAGTTGAACTTAAATGAAACGAATTGGAAGCGACATATTTCGTCCTGTAAATCAGAAGAGAGACTAAAAATCTCAAAAACATGCAATAATTTAACCAATTATTTTTCAAAAAAAAGAGATAATTCTACAGTTTTTGATGGACTTGATGGAACATCATTGCAAAAGAGTAAGTATTTAATTAAATTTAAGGGGGCTGGAGAGTTATCCATTCTAGGGAGTAAAAATTATGCGTTTTATATTTTAGTTTATATGGGTCTTGTGAATGTGTTGAAAATAAATGAACATTAGTGTGTGTAATTTGTAGTAACGATCACGTTGTCACCGTATATACTATATTACCTTATACATAAACAAACATTTAAAAAAAAAAAATATATTGTGAGTGACTTCAATAATTAGGTATGAATAGGATGTTCAGGTATACATTTTGAAAGCAGATTTGAATTCGCTTCTAAATTTAACACCATCCTTTATATTGACCCACTTGTAACCTACTGTACAGCAGAGAGACATCCACTTACCCATCTTTCTATGCTTTATAACGTTAGATGCCTATGTGAATGTATAAATATTACCACATTTCAAATTTCATCATATGAAATCTGTTGTTTATGAATTTTGATATTGAAAACAGTATTAAATTAACAAAATTTAAATTAAAAAAACCTAACTTATTTGTCATGTAGGTCTAACCTCTATCAGGTACCATTGACTATGGTGTTAGTTATTTGGCTTAATTATTGAAATTGTATGATATATATAATATATATATTACCTACTTTTAATACACATGAAAAAAAGGCCCACACCAGTTAAATACACATTTTTACATTAATTTTTATATGTTAAATAGGAAAATCAAATGTGCACCATATTTTTAATCAAAACCGCAAAGTCAATGATTTAAAAGGTATGTAATTTAATTTATTTTTTTTGTAAGAATTGAAATAAAATGAACAGTTTTTTTATGTTAGCAAAAACATTTGAAATTGTTAATTAATTGTTAATGACCAGACCCCTTGCGAATTCATCATGGTATTAATTATTTATATTTATTTTATAATATGTTGTGTTTATAGG